TTGGTTTGGAAACTAGTTTTGAAATAAATTTGGAAGTTAATTTTTTTTTAAAATTATAATTTCAAAATTAACTTCAAAATCAATTTCAAACTTTACTTTAAAAAATTAAAAATTAAATTTTAAATTAATTGTTAATTAAAAACTAATGTCAAAAAAAATTAACTTAAAAACTAATGGTTAAATTAATTTCAAAATGCAAAGTTAATTTTAAAAGTAATTTCGAAAAAAAACTAGAAGTTCATTGAACTTGGAGAATATTAGAGAAAACGGTTTCTATTTATAAAATTTTGTTCCCTTAAAAAAAATGTTATTCCTGGATCCTTCAGACATTTTGACAAGTTACTATTAAGTTTAAACTGAAGGGATATTCTCTCTCTGAGGCAGCAGTGATTAATTATAATTAAGAATCCTAAGCTAACGAGTTTTCGGTTTCTGCCACAGCATAATACTTTCGCATCAACTCTTGTAATTAGTTTCAATATCAAGGGTCTTCAATTATAATAGACTACTATATACATATATACTTTTCAGACACAACGTTAATTGATTTACGATTTTTATTTCTGGGGCATTATGTAAAATCTTCTCACGCACTTTAGTGGTCTTAATGTGCCATTATTTCTTTGATCGATAAGAAATAAAGTTATATATATATATATACTTGAAAGGAATGGATTAATGACCTGTATTAAAATATATACATACTGTGACTTTAAAGAGTGTATAATTATCTTCAATTTATATTCACGAGTCATAAATTTTATTTTTATAATGTTTTTTTTTTTTTAGAGAATTATGTCCTGTTGTTTTTAATATCAATTTTTATTTAATATTTTCATTATAATGAAAGTTTTACAATATGATTATTAATGAACATTTTTTTTATCTATTTATTTTTATTTCAGACAAAAAGTATTTTCTTTTTTTTTAATTAAAAAAAGTACTTTCGAGAGAAAAAATTGTTTTTTTTAAACAAAAGAACATTTCTTTAAAAAAAAAAGATTTTTCTCTTATTTCTTCAAATGAAAATGAAATATTTTAATCGAAAGAAAGTCTTTTCAAAAATGCTTTTTTTAATTCGAGGACATTTTTTTAAGCCAAAAAATGATTTTTTGAATCAACGAAAATTTCTTGAAACAAAAGTTTATATTTTAAATAAATAAGCAAAAAAAGATTTTTTTATATTCAAGATAAGTTTTTTGAAACCAAAACTGAATTTTAAAATAAAGAAAAGTTTTTGGGCCAAAAAATATTTCTTTTTGAATCAAAAACATTTTTGGAGAACAAAAATACTTCTTTTTGAATCAAAAACATTTTTGGGGAACAAAATTATTTCTTCATTAAATATTTTAAATTCGAAATAAATACTCAAATTTTTGTAATTAAAAACAAAAATGAAATTCTCATAGCGAAGAAAAATTCTTTGACTTATAAAATATTTTTTCAAATTAAAGAAATTTTCCTCAAGACTAAAAACTGATTTTTTGAATCAAATAAAATTTCATTAAGAAAAAAAACTGTTTATTGAATATTTCGAATTGGAAATAAATAAATTTTGTAGAATAAAAACAGAAAAGAATTTTTTTGAGATCGATGAAAATTTATTTGAGTCAAAAAATGTTTTCCAATTCAAAGAAAGTTTTCTGAAAATAAAAATATTTGTTTATTAAATATTTCATTTTCGAAAGAAAAAATTTTCTGTCATTAAAAAAATATGAATTTTTTTCGACGAAAGAAAATTTCTTTGATAGAAAGAAAAATGTTTTTTTTTTTAATGAAAGAAAATTTCTTTCAGACAAGACAAAAATATGCGTCTATTGATTACTTTTTTAAATGTCAAAGTGCCCTGGGATTCCTGGGGAATATTTTAACTACAATATGAATACATAATTAATTTATAATTTTACAATAATTAATGCATGTAAATTTTCGATTAATTAAAATTTATATATTAAACCTAATAATTATTAATTAAATTCGAGTTTAAATATAAAATACAAAATTTGAAAAATTCGCACAGGTCAACTGATGTTAGGGGATGAAAAATATTGTAGTAAAAATTGATTACTGTAATATTTCTGTTAATATTATTTTTTTTTGCAAATATTTTGTTTATTTGTTTTTTTCTTAAGTAATAATTTTCTCTAAATAATAAATATTTTATCGTCTCTCATAAATAAAAACACATTTCCTAGGATAACATTTTATTATATAGTTTATCCATAAATATCATGCTCATATATCTGGATTAAAAATCGAAACGGATGTAGCATTATAAAAATCGAATTCTTCCTCCAAAACTATAATTCATCACAGCAGCCATCATTGTAACCTTTGAAAAAAAATATTCTAGAAACTAAGTAAAAAAATAACGTGAAATTCCATAGAGCTGGGAATATTTTTTTTTCTTTCTTAAATTCGCTTTTTTTTGTCTAGAGAGCAAATGACTTCTTGGGTTGGGAAAAATTATTTTTTTGTACAGGAATTTTTTCATTGTACATTAAAATTAATTTATAAGTATAAATAAACATAAACATTTTTTAACTTTAATTAAGAAAATTAATTTCTTTGACTCGAGAAATTTTCTGCAATAATTTTTGCTTTGCAACTAAAAAGAGTTTAAAAATATTTCCCTTAACTTTCGAGTGAATATTCTTTGAATAAAAGAAAAAACTCTTTTCTTTAATTCATCGAATTTTGTTTGAATCAAAAGAATTCTTTAAATTTAAATCTAATTTTTATTAAATTGAAGAAATTTGTTTGAATTTTGAAATTATTTTTTATATGTCAAATATTTAGAAAATTCTTTTTTATTCAAAAAAATTACATTGATTTCAAATACCGTTTTTCATTTAGAACACTTTTTTCGATTTGAAGAAATTTTTTCGAATTAACAAAAAGTCTTTTGAATCAAAGAAATGTTTCAAAATCAATAAAATTTCGTTTGAATCAGAGAAAGTTCTATTCGAATTAAGAGAAGTTTAATTTGTGTAAAGAAAGTTTTCCGAATCAATAAAAATTTTTTTTCTGATTAAAAAAGACTCAGAAAGAAAAAAATTCAAAACAAATTTCATGAATTGAAAAACATTTTTCAATTCAAACCAAACTTTCTTCAATTTAAAAGAACTTTTATTGATTCGAAAAAATTACGGTTATTTAAATAAAACTTTCTTTGACTCAAAAGAACTTTTTTTTATTCATTTATTTATATTTCAATCATTCATTGATAACAAAAAATTTCTTAAATTTAAATGCAACTTTCTTGACTCATCAGAGCTTTAATGATTAGAAAAATATTTTTAAATTAAGGAGAACATTCTTTTTTTGATTAAGAAGAATTTTTATTGATTCGAAAACATTTCTGTTATTCAAATGGAACTTTCTTTGACTCAAAAAAAATTTTATTGGTTAGAAAAATCTTTGCTATTCAAATGGAACTTTCTTTGACTCAAAAGAACTTTTATTGATTCGAAAAAAAATTTTTGGTATTCAAATGGAACTTTTTTGGACTCAAAACAATTTTTATTGATTAATAAAATTTTCTGTTATTCAAATGGAAATTTGTTGACTCAGAGGAACTTTTATTGATTCGAAACAAATTTTTGTTATTTAAATTGAACTTTTTTTTACTCAGAAGAACTTTTAATGATTAATACAATTTTCTGTTATTCAAATGGATTATTCTTTGACTCAAAAGAATTTTTTTTATTAGAAAAAATTTTCTTTAATTTAATTGGAACTTTCTTTGACTCAAAAGAAAATTTTTTTTATTAGAAAAAATTTTCTTTAATTTAATTGGAACTTTCTTTGACTCAAAAAAATTTGTATTCGTTCGAAAAAATTTTTTTTTATTCAAATGGAACTTTTTTTGACTCAGAAGAACTTTTATTGATTAATAAAATTTTATGTTATTCAAATGGAACTTTTTTTGACTCAGAAGAACTTTTATTGATTAATAAAATTTTATGTTATTCAAATGGAACTTTCTTTGACTCTATAAAGAATTTTTTTTTTTTGTAGAAAAATTTTCTTTTATTTAAATGGTACTTTCTTTGATTCAAAAGAATTTTTTATTAAAAAAACTTTCTTTAACTCAGAAGGAATATTCTTTGATTAAAAATAATTTTTATTCATTTGTAAAAGTTTCTTTTATTCAAATTTATCTTTTATTCTTTGATTCAATTTAACTTTTCTGGATTTAAAAACAATTCTTTAATTGGATTTTAATATTCTTTCTTTAAGTCAAAATAATTTTCTTTATTAAAAAAAGTTTTTTAAAAAATTTCTGAAAAATTGAAGAAAAATTAACTTTAATTTCTGAAGTTTCCTTAAATCGAAAAAAAGTTTCTTTAACTTAAAAGTAATTTTTTCTTTAATTCAAAAAATTTTCCTAGTGTCAAAGAATTTTTTCTGATTTTGAATATAGACTTTCGTTGTTTCAATAAGTTTTTCTCTTTTACAAAAAAATTCTTCTCTTAAAGAAATTGAGTCAAAACGAAAAATTAAAGATTTGTAATAAAATTAAAATCACAATATTACTTAAAAAAATGAAATTTTTTTTTCAATTTTGAACAATGTCGATAGTTATTAAAATTTATAAAAACATAACAATTTGTAATTATAAAAACAGTTATTTTTCGATAATAAAATAATGCCCTTTTCGATTCTTTTGACCTTTGTCTCTTTTTTTAAAATACTTTTTCCCAAAAAAGAAAACAAAAAAAGTTTTCTCGAATCTCGATCCCCTCAAAAGTTGATATAAAAAAATTGACTGTTTCTTTTTGCCCATGTGACCGGCGCTCTAGACAGAAAAAAAATCATACAAAGAAAAATGATAAAAAAAATACTTACGGGTCGAATTTTTATTTATTAATTTTTTTTCTATGAAAGAAAAAAGTTTGAAAGAATATTAAATTAAAGATGACTTTTGAAGGTCAACTAATAAAGATCCGGTGTCTTTTTTTCTTTTTTTTGCTTTTGGGACTGTTTATGGGGACTAGGAAAGCGATGGAGGTTGCGATGGTAGCGACGCCGAGATGATTGGTAATGGGAGGAGAAGAGATCGTGATCGTGATCGTGATACTGAGGATGAGGAAGAAGGAAGGGAGGACAGGAACTCGGAGAGTGGGGGAGGTTTTGGTGGTTGGAGGTCTCACCTTCTCGGTGGCCTAACTCAACGAGTCAAATCCTGGTACTGGGGCGCCAGACCCCTCGTAAGTTTCAAAAAAAAAAAAAAAAACAGAAAAACAAAAAAAATTCCCGCACAATCTTCTTTTTTATGCAGTATATATACATTATTACATAATTGAAAAAGAAAAACAATATTATGTATGTATGTATATTTTCTGGCCTCTGCAAACTCTATATAATCACTTCAATTGGATCTACCACCTTCAGCATCATTTGCTACTTTACTGCCTGCGACTGATAAAAAAATATATCTTTAATAATCACGGTTATCAATCACATTTTTATTATATTCATTCGGCTTTTTTCTCTTCAGACGATTTTTCTTCTAAATGATCTCTATTTTTAATTCACAATTATTTATTATAATATATAAGCACTTTGGTAATTCAATTTATACACACATTCATATTATGTCGTTTTTCGACCTCTCGTGCATATCTTTTATTATATTTGACAAATATTTTAAATTAAATTAATATTAAAAATATTAAACAAAAGCAAAAATAATGTTACGATGTTTTGAATTTTATTTTCAATTTTTTTCAATATGAACATATTTTTAATAAAATAAAAGAATATAATATTTTATTAAAAAGAAGAACGATTTTGACTATTAGATTATTTTTTTGCAAATTAAAATTTTTTTATTGGCTCAGGAAAATTAATATTTACATGAAACTTAAAAAATGTTAAAAAGTGAAACTAAAAAATACCATTTTTTATTTAAAACTGAAATTTATTTTCATTAAAAATTTATTTGTTTATCAAAAGTATTAATATCGCAAATTAATGTGAATTAAAAATTAAAATCCGTTTATATTAATTGTCAAACTCTCTAGATTCAATATGGAGATGATATTCTCCAACTGCGAACGCCAAGGTCACCGTTAGATGGTAGTTCAGTTGATAAAGTCGCAGATTCTTCGCCACCTGATGGCGATCTTGGCGTTCTCAAGTGGAGAAATTAAACCATCATTTTTTCTCTCAAAGAACTTTTTTATAATTACAAAATTTTTTTCTGAGAATAATTTAAATTGTGTGTTTTTAATGCTTTTATTAAAAATCCTATTTTTTGACAAAAAATTGTCTTAAATATTTCAAAATTTTATTGAAAGAATTAAAAAAAAATTTTGTTGAGCCAATCAAATAATTGCGTTTTACATTAAAACGTAAAAATGCAGAAAAAAAAATTCACATTGCTCTCATGTTCTTTCGAATTAGTTAAAATCTACTGAATGTATAATAATGAAACACGTCAACTAATTGGATAAAAAAATTTCTATTAAATTTTAAACATTAGAAAGTCGACAATAATTTTGTTGACTAATTACGAAAAATTAACAATTGTAAAATATTCACAACTAATTGTATACACAAATTAATTATTTAATATCAGCTAATTAAAAGAAAAAAAATTATTTAATTAAATAAAAATTTTTTTTACTTTGAATTAAAAGCATCAAAATATTTAATTATAATTAATTCAAGATTTAATTAGGTACTATTTAATCGAGTTATTAATTAGAAAATTATCGAATATTCTTATAAAAGAGTTATTGATAATTTATATAAAATTCAGAAGTAATTAATTAAGTAAAAATTTAGTACCTAACTAATTAATAAAAAAAAATCAGGAACTAATTATTTATTAATAAACTTATTCATTATAATTAGTTCAAAATGTAGTAGTTATTAACAATTTAAATTTAAAACTGAGTAACTAATTAAATCAAAAGTCAGGAACTAATTACTGAAATTATTTATTAACAAATATTTGAATCTTCATTTAAAATTTATAGTTTTTGTTTGTACGCTAATTAATAGATATTGACTAATTAATTAAGAATTTAATTGTAACAAATTAAACAGTTTTTAAGCTAATTAATTTAAAAGTTATTGACTAATGAATGGAAAATTTGGTAGTAATTAATTAATTAATTAGCTAATGAATTACAATTAATTCAAAATTTAATTAATAATTGTTTAAAAGAATTAATTAATTTAATAGTCATTGATTATTTGAAGGAAAAATATTATTAACTAATTAGGAGAAAAACATTTAATTAAATAGAAAAAAAATGCAAATTTAATTCAATAGAAAATATTGCCAATTAATTAGGAGGAAAATGTTAACTAAATAGATGAAGGAAAAAGATTGCTAGTTTGCTTAGAAAAAGTTGAAGAATTAGTAAAAGTTGAATAATTAAATAAATCTGTTGATTAGTTGAATAAAAAGTTCTTTATTTAAAAAAAATGGTTGATTACTAAAACTAAATTTACTAATTAATATTAAACAGTCGAGAAGAAAAAAAATCATTGTAAACTGACAAAAATTCGTCACTATTTGTTAAAGTAATAAGTAAAAAATACATTTTGTTTAAATCATTAATTAAGAAAACATTAGTTAATTAATTAATTAAATTAAAACAATAGTTTATGAAAGTAATTAATTAACTTTTAAAAAAATATATTACAATTTTATTCCACTTTATTTTCTTTTTTCATGTTTTCGAAAAAATATATTTCAACATTATTCTTTGCTAATTTATGTATTTTTTTTCGAAAATAATAACATTCGACGAACTTTGATTTCTTTTGTCAGCAGTTTTTAACTAATTTCGATATTTTAAAGAGCTAATTAAAAATTGAAAGTTTCAAATGCACTTTAGAGATGTTTAAAGCAGTGGTTAAAAAAAATTCTAAATTAATACATAATTAGTTATAATATAATTTTTAAAAAGAATAATAAATATATAGTAAACTAACTATAGAAAAAATAATAAAATAATTTTTTATGAAAAAAGTAAAATAATTTTCAAAAAATGAATTAATGTAAACACATTAATAAATATAGTAAAGCAATTGAAAATAATCTCGAAAATAATAAATATAGTGAAATAAATAGTAATAAATAGTAAAATAATTAAAATTAATAGTAACTCTCTAAATTTTAATTTAATGTTTATTAATTTGAATTAGTACTGACTTTTGTTTTTGAATTAGTAAATTTTACTAAGCAAAAACTGAGTCACTAATTCAAATTACTAAACATATTTACTAATTCAAATTTAGAGAGTAATAATTTTCACTAATAATAAAATAATTTCTAAACTAAAAAATAAAAAATACATTTAAAAATGTGAAAAGAGACGGAAACATATAGACAAAAACAGAACGACATTCGATTTGACATTAATCATTATAAAAATATATAAAAAAGCACTCTTTTGGCATGTCTAATTTTTAACTAGATTTCTCTAATTTCACAAAAGAACATTTTTTTAAATTTTTTTTCAAAGCCTAATAGGTAATTAAAAAAATTTTTTTTTAAATTTTTTAATAAAACATTGCTATAATTATTATATAGAGGTAGAATATAGTCAATAATAGCGAGTGTACGTGTTTTTCTTAGATGTCTTGCACATGCTCCTTTTTTCATATATTATACATATATAAATATATTGTTCTTGTACTCTTGAAAGCACGATTTTCTACATAGATGTCTTTAGCATGCACCAATCACAAAATAAAATTTTTGAAAAAATAATATACTCACATCGAACAATATTCAAAATAAAAAGAAAAATTTCAAATTTTTTCATTATTCCAAAAAGTTTCAACTCGCAGCCACTGCAATAAAACATCAACGATATCGAGAACGATGAATGTCAACAAAAATAAAAGACAAAAAACAAAAAAGCAAAAAAAGCAAGGCTAAACGAGAAACGCACAAATTAACAAAAAAAAAAAAAAAAAAATTAGCGTCAACTATAATTATTCCGCAGAAGTTGAGGATTCTCTAATTTCGCGGTGAGAAACATTTTCCACAAAAATTATAATATATTTTTTTACTCTACTTTTTATAAATGTTTATACATATACATATATAGTCAAGCTACCAATTTTTGTTGTAGTCAGATAGAATTAGAATTAAATATATAGAGCGTAATGTGAGCTTCTTTAGAAAATTATTATTAGCATATATAACTATAAAAAAAAATTCGTCACATAGTCTAAAAAAGTTATAGTTTATAAAAATGTAGAATACAGAATTAATGATTGTTTAAAAATTGTTGACAATTTTTAATTCATAATATTAATCATTTTTTTTTACAGTTAGAATAGTGCTATTGGGAATAATGAGAATGATAATAAGAATTCAATAATAAAATGATATATTGATTTTATTTACGTTTCTTTTTTTCTTTTTTTGATCGACAGGATTAATTTAATTATCTTTTTTAATTCTGTATGTGACGCACTCGAATATCGAAGAAAGATAAGAAGCAAATTTTTTTAAGGTTATGTTTGTGTTATTTACACCTGAATTAAGATTTTCTGTCAAATATATGTATAAAACTAAAATCAGTTTTTAATCATTATTTTAGATGCAATGAATAGTTAATCATCAGTCGTTTATATTAAAAAATGATCCTCTTTGTGTATTTTCATTTAAAAAATTATAAACATAACCTAAAATTTTTTACTTCTTCACCTTTCTTAGGAGCGCGTCACATATTTGGATAATTTTTTTCGAACATTAATTTCCAAATCTTTTTTCAATCATTTTAAAATTATTTTTATTTAATAAAAATTATGACATCTTTTTAATTATTATTTTTTCACGTTTGTTATTTTTATAAGTAAAAATTTATAATAAAATAAAATAATAAAATAAATTAAATAATTATCGAAATATATTCTAATTATTTCAATTATTATTATGCTTTCAATTAACTTTTATTAGTTATTTAATTTAAATTAAAAAACAATTATTTCGTTTTTTCTTAAATTGTCTATTTTTCGGTTTTCATTTTAATTATACAATTAAATTTTTTTTTCAAATTCATCCCTGTTTTTGTGATTCTGTACAAACTTTTTAAAACTAATGTTCGATAAATTAATCACAGAGAAACGTATATTTTTATCGTTCTTCATTGGAAAAAATACGTTTGTGATTATTTCTTCCATATAGTCTTCATTTTTATATTGAATATTTTTTAATCTATAGAAATAATATTAT